AGCGCCGCCCTGGCGGCGCCCTGCTGCGCGAGCAAGTAGATCTGCGCGTCGACGAGCCCGTGCTCCTTGGCCACGTCGAGCGCAGCCTCTGGCTCGTACCCGCTCGACGAGCGCAGAAAGGGCAGCAGCTGCTGCGGCGCCAGTGCTGCGTACAGCTCGACTTGGCGCGGCGCGAAGGGCGCCGCGGCAGCCGGGTTGCACTCGAGCAGCCCGTGGAGGTACTCGTGCAGCCAGAGGGCCGGCGGCTCGCACGGCGCCGCCTCGAGCTGAGGGACGACGGCGGCGGGCGGGAAGGACGAGTCGCTCCGCGCGAGGAGCAGCGCGAGCGTGCGGGGCCACGAGAGGCGGGCGAGGTCGAGCAGCCGGTGGAGAGCGAGGGCGTGTGCGCCCTGCTGGCTGAGAAAGACAAAGACATCGGCCTGCCCCGCGGGGAGCGAGAGGAGCAGGTCGAGCGCCACGCCCACCTCGCGCCGCGATACCGCCAGCAGTGCGAGCACCTCGGTGAGCGCGCTCTCCGCAGGCGACAGCGGCCGCTCGCCCTCCGGCGCCGGCGCCGGCGGCGCCTCCGAAGCCGCGGCGAGCGCGCAAGCAGTGCACCCGGCCCGTCCCCGCATCTCTGACACCCGGTCCGCCTCCGCCGCCGCCGCCGCCAGCTCGGAAGCGAGCGCCGCCGCCGCGCAAGCCGCCGGCTGCGCCGCCGCCCTCGCGTGCTGCAGCGCCGCGGTCGCCGCATCGCGCAATACCGGCTCTCTCCAGAGGGAGGGGTGCCACGAGCGGAGGTAGGCGAGCGCCTCGGCGGGCGCCTCCCTCATCAGCAGCTCGAGCGCGCTCTCGTACACGTCCGAGGCGCTGCCTCCCGCGCCCTGCAGCGGCGGCCTCACGGGCACCGCCTCGACGAGCCAGCGGACTGCGCCGACGGCGGCGAAGCGACGCAGCCACCGCAGCCAGCGCGCGGCGTCGTTGCCGAGCTGCGACGCCAGGACGCGCGCCGCCACCGAGGCGGGCGCCTCGAGCTCGCCTCCCTGCTCCGATTGGCTGAGACCGCTGCCACTGTCCGAGTCCGCGCCCTCAGCCCTCAGACCCGCCGAACCGGCTCCGCCCACCTCCCCTCCCCTCGCCGTGCCGCCGTCCGCCGGCGCCGGCGTGCTGCTCCCGGGCGCGCAGCTCGCAGGTGCGGCGTGCGGCGCCTCGAGGAGCGAGGCCGCGTACTGCTCGGCGATCGCGAGGGGCGTGTGGCGGCTGAGGCTGGCCGTGTGCCTGCTGGCGAGGGTGAGGGCGAGCTCGAACCTCCCCGACGAGAGGAGCCACGCGATGCGGTCGTCCCACGAGAAGGAGCGAGCCACCACGATGTCATGAGGCGCGACGACGTACGCAGTCATCTCGGAGAGGTCGTCGCACCTACAGCGCAGCCGCGGTGAGGAGCGTCAAAGGGACGCCGTCGGCCGCGCCGCCCTCCGAGGCACCCCGCGCACTGGTACGCCGCCTCCCAGCCGCCGGGCGCCACGCTGCTGCGCGCCGCCGCTGCCGCGAGCGGCGTCCACGCTGCACTCGCTCCGCCGGCGTTGACGACGGCCGCGGCGGCCGCCGCAGCGCCCCCGACGGCGGAGGCTGCCGAGGTGGCGGCGGCAGAGAGGGCGCCGCGGGCAGCCATCATCGGGTTGAGGTCTCGGGAGGGCGGGGGCGGCGGCGGAGGCGGCGGCGGCGGCGGCGGCGGCGGCGGCGTCCCCGGCGGCGGCGGCGGCGGCGGCGGCGGCGGCGGCTGAGGCAGCGCTTGCAGCGGCGAGGGCGAGGCGGGGGGCGGCGGCGGCGGAGCGGCGGCGAGCGTGTACTGCGCGGCAGTCAGCGCCTCGTGCCCCTCGACGGAGAGCGAGTCGCAGAGGATCTCCTCGTTCCGCAGCGTGAGCAGCCTCAGCTCCGGCGGCGCCGCCGGCCCCCCCGCCGCCCCCCCGCCGCCGTCCTGCTCCTGCCCGGCCGCCTCGTCGTCCGGCACAAAGGCGAGCGCGAGCAGGTCGGTCGCCCAAGCGCCGCCCTCGCGCCGCAGCCTGGCGGTGGCGAGGCCGCAGACGAAGAAGTCCGTCTGCAGCAGCGCCACCACCTCCATGTACAGCCGCGGGCCCTTTGAGTCTGGCCCGCCGCCGCCGCGCGAGCGCACGACGCCGAGCTTGATCGAGTCGGCCCAGCCGATGACGAGCTCGGCGGGAGAGGACCACAGCAGCTGGCACCGGAAGAGGTCGGAGGGCGGCCGCTCGTACGGCCGCTCGACGAACGAGACGCACCGGTTGTGCGCCGTGTCAAACACCTTGACCCCCACGTCGTTTGCCCACGCGATGAGCGGCCCGCCGCACGCCACCGCCGTGACGGGCCCCTCGCCCGCGTGCAGGACGGTGTCCTTCGCGCCGCCGAACCAGCCGCGAGCGGAGTGCACCAGCTGGCCCGCCAGACCGCCCGTCGCCACCGGGCGGCGCGAGGCAAAGTCGCCCGCCGAGTCCATCAGCGCGATGCTCTGCACCGGGCGCGGGTACCACTGGGTTGAGCCCTCGCCGCTGATCGTGTTGCTCACGACGACGGTACCGTCCTGCGAGCACGAGCCGACAAACTCTCCCGACGCGTCGATCGAGACGCCCGTCACCGCGGAGGAGTGCGGCGCGAACCGCCGCAGCTCCAGGCCCGACGGGTCGAGGATGTGGAGCGCCCCCGACGCCGTGCCGAGCACGAGGAACCGCGCGTGCACCGCGAGGGAGGAGGCGGCGTCGGAGCCTAGGATGAGCGGGACGGACCTGCCCAGCCGCTGGTACTTGAAGAGAGGAGGCTCGTCGACTTCCTGAGCATTGTTGTCGTCGAGCATTGTTTCTCCGGACGGCCGAGGCGATGTCGGCAGCGGCTTGCCGAGGGGACCGCTCGTTCTTTTTTTTCGCCTTGTTGTAGGAGGTTTCCAGTCTGACTGTTCTTCACATTTCTACCTATAGTCCATTAGGGCTTCCAGTATCGGACCTTCAAGATATGCGCTTTTGGCCGGTGGCCTCTTCGGACATGGTACCTCCGGTGAGTGAGTGAGATAGATAGATCATAGATGATAGTGGCTGCCAGTTCGAGACTGGGGCCGATCGAACTTGAGTTGTTCGGTCGGAGGAGGAAGCATCCGGCCAGCACGGGTACAAAGAGGGGTACCCGGAGAATCCCCAGCTGCGGAAACGTAGTGTCGCTCAAGAGGTGCGATACTGCGGGGGAGTGTAAGGTGCCTATATGGGCTTCCAGTATCGGACCTTCAAGATATGTATGTGGTTTTGCGTTTTGGCCGGTGGCCTCAGCGGACAGCAGCGCTGGGTTCGGACTTTTTGCGGGGTAAGGTACGGTCACATCACGCAACCAACCCACCTCGATCGAGACCATACCCCCCCTGGCGTGTCCGTTTTATTTATTTTATGTATAACCCGTCCTCCCATCCCTCCCTTGGGCTGTGTCTGTTTTCTTTCTTTCTTTTTAACCCTTTCAGGACGAGAAATCGAACGGCTCTGGCAGCCCAATCTGAGCACACCGTGAAATGCTTTGTCTTCCCTATTTCTTCAGAGTTATGTGCCCACTCAGGGTGTGTGGCAGCCAACTGGCTGTGTGACTTGGTGAGCCTGTTTGTGTCTGTGTGTCGCTCGTGCGTGTCGTCATCATCTGTCTCGCGTCCACCCATACCGCGTTGGGTGTCCAGGTCCGAGCCTGGCTGTTCTTCAGACTTCACCTCCCTACCTAACCTAACCTAACCTATAAACTTCTTCAGAGAGAAACCATGCCGCGCGCTGCTGCTCCGGATCGTGAGCACGCTGTCCGCGCGCTCACTGAGTGTGCCGCTCTTGGAGCACTCTTTTCACTTTTGCAAGGCGGAGGCATGCGCAAGGCAGCGTGTGCGGACGTGATCCGGCGGTGCCACGCGTTTGCTGAGGGCTCGGAGGCGTTCCAGGGGCGGCGGCCGGCGGCGCCCGCCGTCGTATTGGCGGAGGCAGCAGCCGCGGCGAAAAAAAGATGTGATCGGTATTTTTATTGCAGTATCCGTGTCATCAAAACGCACCTGAAGGAAGGCGCCGACCCGTACACCTGTAGCCGTGCCCAGCACGCGGTGCGACTGCGTCTCGACAGGGTTCGTGATTTCACATGGAAAAAGAAAAGAAATAGAAGGGATGGGAGGACGGCACGCCGCCACCACACAGGGATTTTAAGGAGAGGAGTGTGGTGCGCTAGCCGTCGCCCACACTAAGGGCGTCTACGCCCTTACCCACACCAATGGTTTTTCAGCCCCGACTTTTGCGCAAATTCTTCTCCTTGGCTAGAGGAATAGCTAGACTGAGAGATATTGTGCACATGCGACATGGTCAGTCACTCTCTACAATACAAGCACTGAACGCACTTTTTTCAAGTTTAGCGAGGCGCAGAGGGGCCTGGGAGGGATGGATGCACAACCGACCCACGCCACGCCGCTTGCGGCGGTCCTTTTCCCAGCTCCGCTGAGGGCGCGTGCGTTATCCTTTTTTCAAGTTTAGCCTGGTTGTGTGTGTGTGTGTGTGTGTGTCTGTTGGAATCAGAAAAAAAGAGAGGGTGTGATGCGCTAGCCGTCGCCCACCCTTGTGCGTCCGCCTCTTCCTATCTCTCTTCGCAGTCCCTCGCCAATTCTCGTTGCAACCTTCATGCCACCTCGCGGTCGTCCCACTCTCGTCGTTCTCTCTCTTGTCGCTTCTTCCGCTGACAAACCCAAACGAGGGATGGGGAGGAGGACAGGGTCCCCACCTGCACGAGCAGGATTTTGGAAGGACGATCAGGGGGACCGGTGGGGCTCTCCTGCTCCTGACAAGGGACACGACAGGCTCGCAGCGCGGTGCACGGTGGACTCCCAACTCCACTGGCGGTCTCATCTCAGTCTAGCGACCTGCCTCCAGCTTGTCGCTGGCAGTCTCTCGCTACCACAGGCACACTGACACAGGGGTGGCAGGGGCGGCGGCAGGAGTCTCCCACATGCTATGCGGGCCTCGCTAGAGGTGCGTCCTGTGTGTGTCCTCGCCCTTGTGGGGGAAGGGGAAGGGGTTGTGTGTCTGTACATGCATGTGTGTGTGTGTGTGTGTGTGCGTGTGTGTGTGTGTGTGCGTGTGTGTGTGTGTGTGTGTGTGTGTGTGTGTGTGTGTGTGTGTGTGTGTGTGTGTGTGCGTGCGTGTGTGCGTGGGTGGGCGCTGTGCGAGCCGCCTGAACGCCACGAGCGCGCCGCGAGCGCCATAGCGCCGCAACGCCGACGAGCGCCGCCCAATCTGAGCAGCGGAGTTATTTCTTTTTTCAAGTTTCTACCGAGGAGGCGCTGGTCATCGTTTCTGTGATATATAATGGAGGAGTACGAGGACGAGTACCGCGCGCACAGCTCTGAGGCCGCCGCCCACCTGGAGACGGCCAGGGCCACTGCGGACCGCGACGACCGGCAGCAGGCGGCGGCGGCGGCGTCGCGTTCCATCGACGCAGCGCGCGAGGTGGTGTCGATGCTGGAGATGGAGGCGGGCGCTCTCCCAAAGACGGAGCGGGCGCCTCTCTCCTCGCGCATCCGCGCCTACCGCTCCGAGCTGACAGACCTCTCACGCCGCTTGCGGGAGGTGCGCCGCCCGTGTGCACCTCTGCCGCGCCCGTGTGCCACGCGGCCATCATGTGAAGAGGAGAGCAGACTTTCCCGCCGGACGCACCTCCACGCGCCTCCGCCATCGATCGCGCAGGCGACGCGCGCCGACGCGCGCCAGGCGGCCGCCGTCGCCTCGGACTGCATACGCGAGGAGCTCTTCTCGGCGGCGAGCGGGGACGGAGGCGGGCGCGACGAGAGCGAGCGGATGCTGGCCAACTCGGACCGGCTGGCGAGCTCGACCAACCGGCTGCGCGAGGCGCACGCCGCCACCCTCGACATGGAGGAGCGGGGAGCCGCCATCATGGGCGACCTTGCGCGGCAGCGGGAGACGCTGATGCGGACGCGCGGCACGCTCGGCGCCGCGCGCGAGGGGCTGGAGGCGTCGCGCCGCGTGCTGCGCCAGATGGGCCGCCGCGCAGCGACGAACAAGGCCGTGCTGCGCGGCATCTTCGCCGTCGTCCTCCTCATGTTCCTCTGGATCGCGTGGCCAAGCGCGGAGGCGCCCTCGCCACCCGTCGGCTAGGCGAGAGGACGGCGCCGGGGCGGGCTCCGGTGGCGCGTAGCGACCAGCGAGGGCCTGGGCCCGGAGCCTCTGCTCTGCGGTCCGATGTGCGGTCGGCGGTGGCAGGCCGCCGGCGGGGTTTGTGTGACACACGCGTGTTGGTTTTGTGTGATGGGGGAGGTGGAATTCCACGAGACCGCGCCCATGACTCTCATTCGTCATGGCATGACCGCGCCGGGGCGCGCGCGCCGCATTGATGGGAAGGACAAGCGGGATCCGGGAAACCCTCGACCTCTCTGCGCCCCGGCGCCACAGCTCCACCCGCTACACCCCTCTTCTTGAAATCCCTGAGTGTGGCTGTGCCTCTCGGTAGCGTGCACGGTGCGCATAATCAACGCGCAAGGGAGGGAGGTCGCCGGCCTGTGCGGTGAGCGATGACGTTCTCCCCCATACCTAAATCTCGAAGAGAGAGAGAAAGAAAAGAAAATAATCAATCAGATGCAGAAATGGAAAAAGAAAGAAAGAATGAGACCACCCAACCCAAGAGAGGGAAAAAGGTAAAGGAAGGAAGGAAAGCAAAACAGACAACCCAAACGAGGGGGAGGATGGGGGAGGAGGACAGGGATGGCAGGACGAGAATCGACGAGAAGCCGGAATTCAAATTCTTCAAGCCGACCTTCTTCAAGCCGTCTGCTGTGCCTTTTGTGGTGCAAGTCCGTGCCAGTCTGCTGTGAGAGGGACTTGGGTTGCAGAATTCTTCCGCAGGGGTCACACCCGACGACCTCGGGAACTAGCCGGGGCAGTCGGAGAAGGGGCAACTCCGTGCACTGACGGTCGGCCGTCAGAAAACACGCCTCCGTGGCTCGGGTTACACCAATCCTCGCTACCAAACGCGGGCAAAGGATATCCACCGCGAGAACCTCGCGACAAGCATCTTCCGACCGAGGCTGGGCGCTGCCGGGGCGCGTTCAGTCAAAGCCGGACGCACCCGGGACGTGTGCTGTCGCTGTCGCACTGTCACAGACGATGCTCAGCGTCGCTCTCGTCCTCGGGATTGCAATCTGTGCACCACCTCCAACAGTGGTCAATCTTGCCGCTGCTGGCGCCGCTGGCGCCGCTGGCGCCCTGGCCGTGTATCCCTTTGACAGCATCAAAACACGGCTGCAGAGCGAGACAGCGCAGAAAAGCTACGGTGGAAGTGGAGTCCGCGCCGCCCTCTCGCTGGTACGCAGTGAGGGCTTGCTCTCTCTGTACAGTGGCCTCGGCGTTCAGCTTACGGGCGTCGTACCCGAGAAATCTATCAAGCTGTTTGTGCACGACCAGAGTGCTCCGCTCCTCGGCGAGGCACTCTCCGGCGCGTTGGCGGGGCTGTGCCAGGTGGTTGCCACCAATCCGCTGGAGATCGTGAAGGTGCGGCTCCAGCTCTCCTCAAATCCGGACAGCCCGCTTGGCGTGCTGCAGCGGCTCGGGGCGGCCTCGAATCCGCTAGTGCTCTACACCGGCGCTGCAGCGTGCGCAGCTCGCGACTCGCTCTTCAGCGCGATCCTCTTCCCCGTCTACGCCAGCGCGAGGACGATGCTGGCGGAGGGCGACATGCACATGACTGGCGCACTGCTCTCGCTGACGGCGGGCATGCTCGCCGCGGCGCCCGCTGCGTACCTCACCACGCCCGCAGACGTGGTCAAGACGCGGCTGCAGGAGGTGCGTGGCGAGAGGCGGCTTGGAGATGGTAGGCAGCTAGACAGGCGGACCAATGGCAAGCCGTTTCCGTTAGGAGCGCGAGGAGCCGGCGGAGCTGAGAGACGGCGCTGCGGCGGTCGTCGGTGCGAACGTGGCGACGCGCGGCCTGGCGAGCGGCGGGGTGGGTCCGCTTGCCGCCGGCCGCCGTGTCCTGTCCGAGGGCGGGGTCGCGGGGCTCTTCGCGGGAGGGCCGGAGCGTGTGCTGCGCTCCGCGCCCCAGTTCGGCATCACGCTTGCGCTGTACGAGGGGCTGAAGGCGGGATGCGAGGCGCGCGGGTGGCTCTAGCGCGCGTAGCCGTATGCATGTGCAACATGTGCATGTGTAGGACCCCCGCGTGGCGTGGGCGCGCCGAATCGGCGTTTTATACTAAAAAAGGGGATTTCACACACAGTCTATCGCTTTTGTAGAGCCGCGTACGACTACGCGAGACGCGCTGTGTGGTGGGACAGATCAACCCACAACCGCCCCCGGCCGGACATCCATGAGGCGGGTGCGCCCCTGAGCTGTGCGGTGTGTGTACAGTACATGCGTGTCATCACGCCTGCGGGTCGAACTCGCCCGCCTTGTTTCTCTGCACGAGGACTCTCCTTAGGATCTTGCCCGCCGCCGACTTTGGGATGGCGTCGGGGGCGACCATCTGCACGACGCCGCCGCGGAGCTTCTTGTGCGGCGCGACCCGCTCGGCGACCCAGGCGGCGATGGAGTCGGCGTCGAAGTCCGCCCCTGGCGCGAGGGTGACGAAGGCGCGCGGCACCTCGCCGGCCGTGTCGGAAGGCACCGGGATCACCGCCGAGTCGACGATTTGCGGGTGCGAGAGCAGCAGCGCCTCGAGCTCGGCGGGCGGCACCTGGAAGCCCTTGTACTTGATCAGCTCCTTGAGCCGGTCCGTGAAGTAGAGGTAGCCGTCCTCGTCGGCGTAGCCGATGTCGCCCGTCCGGAACCAGCCGTCCGCGTCAAAGGCGTGCGCGTTCGCCTCCGGGTTGTTGAGGTAGCCCGCCATGACGTTTGGCCCCGTGCACACCACCTCGCCCTCCTCGCCGCGCGGCAGCAGCTCTCCGCTCTCGGGGTCGACGATCTTGTACAGCATCGAGGCGACCGCGACGCCGCTCGAGCCCGGCCGGTTGTCGCCGTCTGGGTTGACGCTGCCGATCGGCGCGAGCTCGCTCATCCCCCACGCCTGCTTGACGACCACGCCGAGTGACATCCTCACCCGCACGGCAACAACAATGCCAAGGCTCCATCAGGATCATCATAACCCACCGGAGGTCGCACCTGGAGGTCGTACCACAGTTCTCACCCTACACCCCGTGCCTGCTTGACGGCCACGCCGAGCCGCGCGGCGCACTCGTTGCCAACCTCGCGCGCGAGCGGCGCGGCGCCCGATACGATGGTCTTGAGCGAGCTCAGGTCGTACGAGTCGACGAGCGGGTGCTTCGCCAGGCCGAGGATGATTGGCGGCACGAGCTGCGCCTAGGGGACACGTCCACGGCGCGTCGGCGGCCGCGGCCCGGTGACTGTTCTGCGGCAGGCGGCAGGCGAGAGGGAGCCCTGGTGCAGCGCCGCTCCTGCACGAGGGAGAGGAAGCGCTCGAGGTCGAAGGCGGGCATCGTCACGCACGTGCAGTCGTAGTAGAGCGATATGTTGAGCGACGCCGTGAAGCCGTAGATGTGGAAGAAGGGCAGCGGGCTCACGAGCGTCTCGCCGCCCCGGCTCCAGAAGCGGCCGTCCACGAACTCGAACTGGAGGACGTTGGCGATGAGGTTGCGGTGCGTGAGCATCGTCCCTTTCGGCATCCCGGTGGTACCGCTCGAGTACGGCAGCACCGCCAGCTGGTCGTCCTCCACCGCGCCGAGCAAAGGCGCCGCGGCGCCCGTGCCCTTCAGCGCATCGAGCGGTGTCGCGCCGGCGGGCGCGTCGGCTCCGAGGACGAGGACCGAGATGGCGTCGGCCCGCCCCGACGCGCGGACAGCCTCGAGCGCCTTCTCCAGGCAGCAGGGGTGCGCCATGACTACCGTCGCCTCGCAGTCCTCGAGCTGCCTCCCGATCTCAGTCGCTGAGTAGAGCGGGTTTGCCGGCGAGAGCACGCCGTTCAGCTTCAGCACGGCGTGCACGGCCGTGAAGTAGTCCGCGTGATTCGGCGAGATGAGCAGCGCCCTGTCGCCCGGACAGAAGCCGAGTACGGAGCGCAGCTCGTGCGCCACGCTCCCCACGTCGGCGAGCAGGTCCGCAAAGGTCCTCACGTCCGCCGGCCCCTCCGGGTTGTCCACAACCACAGCAGGCTTGTCGCCATTCTTGGCGAAGCCCGAGCAGATGAAGTCCGAAAAGTTTGGGAGGGAGCCTGGCGCAGGAAGCTGCAGCGGCGGCGCCGGCGAGGCCACAACGAGCCGGTGGTCCTGGCCGAGGACAGGCGCGGCGGCGGAAAAGTGGCGCGCGCCGCTGCGGTGCAAGCGAGATGAGGTGCGCCGCAGCGCGCGGCTCATTTATCAAGCGTCGTTCGGGTTCGGCAAGGCTGGGTGGCAAGGCTTGGAGCTTGGCACAGCTGCGCGGCTCTGGGCAGAATCTTTTCTTTCTTTTGTAGTGCCAGTCCGAGCCAGTCTGCTGTGAGAGGGGCTTGTATAGTAAAATTCTTTCTTTTTGGTATTGTTTGTGTCTGTGTCGCTCGTGCGTGTCGTCATCATCTGTCCCGCGTCCACCCATACCGCATTGGTGTCCAGTCCGAGCCTGGCTGTTCTTCACCTTTCTACCTACCTACCCGTATGAGGACTCTGCTGACATGGTTTGCGATGAGAAGCCAGAAGCGGCCCGATGGGTTTCTCGGAGGTTAACTATTTTTCAGTGTATGTAGCTCTTACGAACATACCCGAGGGTGAACTGCTGACAGGGTTTGCGATGAGAAGCGATTTTTGGATCCGTGAGCGTCGGGCTGGTGGTTCGACACCGGGTTTGAAACTCTCTGTTTGTGTATCTGTTTGTTATGTTGTCAGGCAAATTTACATGTTACCCCACAGGCCGCGCACCGAAGCGAAAATCTCCGGGCATGTTAGTAAGTAGTAAGAGCTACAGACACTGAAAATGTTACCGCGCCGTCCTTGCTCCTCCCTGCCGTGCCGCTCCTTCCTCCGTGCCGCGCCGCCCTTGCCGTTTAGCCCGCCCCCCCCCCTGCCGTCCGTTACCGCCGTGCCGCCGTACCGCCGAACCTCAACAGTGCCACGCCCCGTGCCGTTTGTCCCGCCGTCCGATGCCCTGCCTGCCGTCTGTTGCCGCCGCGCCGCCTTACCGCCGACCCTTGCCGTGCCGCGCCGCCTTTACACACACACCTTACTTTCTGCACGACCGAGTTTGCGCTGATGAGCGAACCGAGCCGCCGGGTGCCCCGCAGCGGCCTCGCTGGGCCAGAAGAACCGGTCCGCGAGTGCTCCGCAGCAACCTCGCTGAGCCAGAACGTCGGCTCGCGAGGTGGGGTGCTAGTCTGGGACCCATACGTGGCAGTTCCCTTGCTCCAAGCGCTTGCGCTTCGGCGGTAGTGATCTGATCACCCGAATACCACTTTCGGATCGCTCCTCATCGCAAACCCTGTCAGCAGTTCACCCTCGGGTATGTTCGTAAGAGCTACATACACTGAAAATCATGTGAGCTATGTGTGCTGATTTCCAAGAGAGTGAGTCTATCGGTAAGCGCGGGTTAGCGCGGGTTAGTGCTCACTAACCCGGCCCGGGTTAGCACGGGTCAGAATGGGTTACCATAACCCGGCACTAACCCGGCACTAACCCGGCACTAACCCGTGCGGCTGGGGGGCATACGTCAGCATGGGTTTGCGCCGGGTTAGGGGTGGGTTAGGGCCGGGTTAGTGCAGTGCACCCCGGGTTAGAGCTGGTTGGCGAGATGAAACGGCTGCGGCGGGCACCCGACAGGCACCCGAGCCGACCTCCGCGATGGAGCCTTGGCTGCAGAAGGCCGTGCATGACAAGGTGCTCATTGAGAAGAGCACCCGCGTTCGCACTTGACTCTTGAGCACTTGATAGGGCCGATTCCGCATGGTACGGGACCCCTCTGTTAACATATTCTGTTAACAGGTCGGCATGGTCTTCTGTTAACAGGCATGTTGTTGGTAACTTTGATCGCGACACACCTCCCGTTGCGACCATGGCCTCCGCTGCAGTGGCAGTGCGGGCTGCAGGGGGCCCGGCCAGTGATGGCCCTAGGGAGGAGGAGTGCGCTGAGGGCGGTACATTATAGATCCTGTGGCATGAGACTGTCCCGCTCGCCATGCGCCCGCGGCTGTGGTGTGGCGAGTGAGTGAACGCACGAGAGAGGGGTGGAACGAACCGTAACCCAATCCCAAGCCTAACCCAGACTAACCCGAGACTAACCCGAGACTAACCCGGCGCTAACCCGCGCTGCTCGGCGGAGGGGCATACGTTAGGATGGGTTAGTGTCGGGTTAGTGCCGGGTTAGCGTCGGGTTATGGTAACCCGTTCTAACCCGTGCTGACCCGTGCTGGGTTAGTGTGGCTTAACCCGGTGGAACCCACGGCTAACCCGCGCTTACTGATAGACTCACAAGAGATACTTAACCAAACCTGCCCGAACCTATCCCCCCCCCACTGACCGAAACGATTTGGGTCCGCGAAACCGTCCCCATGGCGAGGAGTGTAGCGGCACGCGCGCGGCCCGCGCTTCCGCACAAGATCAACGACCACGGCTCCGCCAACAACGACTTCTGGGTCGTGCTCAAGGACGCCATCCACAACTCCTCGCGCGCCCGCGTCGAGTGCCAGCGTGCCCTTGCCGCCTCGCTTGTTGCGGCCGACTCCGCCTTTGCACCACACGGCCCGGAGGCGCAGCACAAGGCGCGCGGCTTCCTCTCGGCCAACGGCCACGTTTTACACCGGATGCAGCGCTTTGCAGAGCAACTCGAGGCCAAGGCCCGGGCTGCCGAGATGGCCCACGCTGCAGATGTGTCTCAGCTGCGCGAGCGCCTGCACATCGCGCTTAGCGCGGCGGCAGAGCAGAGCGACAACACAATCTCGGCGCTGATGGCTGATCACGAGACGCACGTGGCGCGCGCCGCTGACGTCCAGCACGCCCTTCAGCAGCGGCTCGAGGCGGAGCGCGCCCGGCTGACGGGCGAGAACGACTCGATGCATTCCGAGCTCGAGGCAGCCAAGCGCGCAGTTGCAGCCCTCGAGGCGAAGGTGCAGGAGACGGCCGAGCAGGCGGCGGCTGAGCATGCGGCAGACCGAGCAGAGCTGCTCGAGCTCCGCGAGAGCAACGAGCAGCTCCGCGAAGACGCCTGCCAGCGGGGAGCGCATTCCGAGCGGTCGCGGCTGGAGCTGCATGGGCAGGTGGAACGGCTGACTCGCGAGAAGCGTGCGCTCGAGATCGAGTTCGAGGAGCAGGTCGCTCATCTCCAGCGGATGCGTGAGGACGAGGTGCGCGATCTCCAGGCCCAGCGCGACCGTAGCATCACGGAGCACCAGCGCAGCGTCCAGGAGCTCAATCGGCAGCTAGAGGCAAGCCTCGACGACCGCAGCGCCGACGCGGCCCACTACGAGGCCAAGATTGAGAGGCTGCAAGCTCTCAACGTGGCCGCGCTGAAGGCGGGCTCGGCGCGAGGCCGACAGCTGCTGTACGCGGAGAGCATGCGTGCAGCGTGTTTGCTCCCCTGCTCTGCTTGTCAAGGCACGGCTCACCCAGCGTCGGCCCTATAGGCGCTCGCCGGATCTGTTCGCCTCGTCGACCTTGTCGTGGCGTGGTGGAGAGTGGAATCACTCTCCCTCGAGATCGGCAATTGCTTCGCCCTCGAAGGCAAGGCCACGATCCGCGGGATCACCCTCCTCAAAGGGGAAGGGTTGGGACCCCTCCACATCTTTTGGCTCGGGCTCTCGGCGCCGACAATCCCCCTCTTCGGCTTTCGACTCCTCCACCCCCACCCCCCGCACGTCCCCGCGCACTACTCCGCCCGCACGGCGCCCACCGGCAGCTCCGGGTGCACCATCTCGTGCCGCTCATCGCAGCGTCACGTCGCCGCACGAGAAGCACGTTTCGCCGACAGCTGACCCCGCCGCTCGTTTCCGCAAGCTGCGAGTCGACACCGAGCGTCCCGAAGCTGCTGTTGCTGAGAAGAAGGACAGCGCCGCTGCTTGAGTGCATTCAGGGGTGGATCGCCTACTAGACTGACGCCGTCACACTTCTCTGAGAGAGCGCGCGTGGAGAAGCGATTAAGCGAGAGCGCTGAGAAGCGCGCGCAAAAACACACAATGCATCTGGCGGTTGGCTTGGAGATGACGGGAATTCCTACGAGGACATAAAAAGCCTTGAAGTTTTGCCGTTTGTCGTGACCGCTCCCTTGTAGTTGTATTGAGGGCTTTAGAGAAAACCATGCCTGGCGCGAGGAGGCCGGACCCCCAGAACCCCTTTGAGGCCGGTCGCGTCCGGTGCCTTGAAATTTATTTCCGCGGTGTACCTGTGTTAGAGAGTTGTTTTCGAGAGTCGTGATTTCTTGTGTTAGTGCCCAGAAAGAAAGAGAGAAAACAGACAACCCAAAGGAGGGATGGGAGGACGGCACGCCGCCACCACACAGGGATTTCACGGGAAGGAAGGTGTGTTGCTATAGCCGTCGCCCACCACCCTTGGCCTTGCGCCTTGGGCGTCTGCCTCTTCCTATCTCTCTTCGCAGTCCCTCGCCGATTCTGTGTTAGTGCCAGTGAGCTGATTGATTGATAGAAAGGCGAAGAACAGCCAGGCTCGGACTGGACACCAACGCGGTATGGGTGGACGCGAGCGAGACAGACAGATGCAGACAGATGATCACGACACGCTCGAGCGACACACAGACACAAACAAGCTCACAAGACACACAGCCAGCGGGCTGCCACACACCCTGAGTTGGCGTACACATAACTCAGGGCCACATCCTTCCTGTCGCCCCCCCCCCAGCACTCCAATGCCAAAGGAACAAACAAGGGCACAAGAACACAACACCGCCCCGAAAATTCTTCAAAAAAAGCATGCTTGCTCGCCTCGTTCGCGAGCCGCGACTCACCGAGCACAAGGGCGGCTGCACGCTAGACATCGGCGGGGGTCTGACTCTTAGCCTTACGTGCGTCGAGGTTGACATCATCCGGGTCTCGCTTCTCCGCCCATCGGGCCGTGCGCTAGACCGTTCGTGGATGGTCGCTCCCGGAATGGCGTCGCTCCCCGAGGAAGGTAGGCCCAAGGAGAGCACCGAAGGCTTTGCGATGCCCGACACCACGCTCGAGCGTACCGTCGATGGCTCCGTTCGCTTGTCGACCGGCCGCCTGCGTGTCACGGTGGGTACTGCCGTGGGCGAGCCGCTCAGGCTGACATGGGCGTGGCATGACGAGGCGACTGGTGATTGGAAGCTCCTGTTGCGCGATCGCCCGACGGGTGCGTACTACGTCGGCGCCGACGGCCGAGTCTCGCACTACGTCTCCCGCCGGCGAGGCGACGCCTACTTTGGGTGCGGCGAGCGCAGCGGAGCTCTCAACCGCGCGGGCCGGCGATTCGACCTGCGCTGCGTCGACGCCATGGGGTACGACGCCGAGCGGAGCGATCCGCTCTACAAGTTTTACCCCTTTTACATCGGCAAGCCGTGCGCGAGCTCCGCCGACCCTTCCGGGACGGGGGAGCCTCCGGAGGCGCTCGGTCCGGACGGGCACGGCGAGCCGCCGCCGCTGCGCGCGGTCTCTCGCGGGGGGGGCGGCGCGTACGGTGCGCCTCATCCCAGGCGACGCGCGAGGGCAGCTCTCACAGTGGCTCGGTAAGCCGCGGAGGCGGTGCTGCCGTCAGGTGTCTTTTACGACTCGATGGCGCGGGCGGCGCTCGACTTTGGGTGCGAGCTCAACAACTACCACGGCCTCTTCGCGAGCTACCAGGCCGAGTGCGGCGACCTCGACTACTACGTGCTGCTCGGGCCGAGGGTACGCAGCGTGACGGCCCGCTCCTCGGTGGCGGAGCGGCGAGACTCAGGGGTGTGAGTCATGAGCTATCGCCGAGAGGCTGTCAGCACTAGGCCCGCTTCTCGTGGCTGACCGGCGAGACGCTGCTGCCGCCGCGCTGGTCGCTCGGCTACTCGGGCGAGCGACCCTCCCTGCCGCGCCCCCTCCATGGCCTGGCCGCCCCACACGCCTCCACCGACCTCTCCACGCCCCTCCACGCCCCCGCCGCAGGCTCGACGATGGCCTTCACCGATGCGCCCGACGCCCAGAGGCAGCTCGAGGCCTTTCTCGCCGAGTGCGCGGCGAGGCAGGTGCCGCTCTCCTCCTTCCAGCTCTCCAGCGGCTACTCCTCTTCCGCCGCCGGCCGCCGGCACGTCTTCACGTGGAACAGCGGCAAGGTGCCCGACCCGGACGGGCTCGCCGCCGCTTATGCCGCCGCTGGCGTGCGCCTCGCCGCCAACATCAAGTCTCCGCCGCCCGTGGCCCCACGCCCCAGCCCCACGCCCCAGCCCCACGCCCCAGCCTCACGCCCCAGCCCCACGCCCGGCGAGAGGCTGTGGCCTCACGCCCCAGCCCCACGCCCGGCGAGAGGCTGCCCGGCAGCGACGGAGCTCGCGCCGCCTCGCAGGCCCTGCCTCTTGGTCGACCACCCCGAGTACGCCGCCTGCGCTGCGGCGGCCCTCTTCGTCGGCGCCTCGGGCGCGGCCTCCGCGGCGGCGGCGGGTGCGCCTCCCTCCTCGGGCGCGGTGTTTTGGCCCTCCACGCCGTCGGCAGCGGCGTACTCGCCCGAGCGGTCCATGTTTTGGGACGCGGACGGTGCGCCGCGCGCAATGCGGGCAGCGCGCAGCGCCAGAGCGCGCACGTGCGTGTCCGACCTCTCGCCCGCCTGGCCCGCCCTCAGGCTCGCACCTCGACTTTACGAACCCGGCCGCCGCCGCGTGGTGGCAAGACCGCGTGGCCGCGGCGCTGCTGCGGCGCGGCATCGTCGGCACCTGGAATGACAACAACGAGTATGCGATCGAGGACGAGCACGCCCTCTGCCACGGGTTTGGGCGGCGCGTGCCGCTCCGGCTGGTGCGGCCCTTGCACGCGCTGCTCATGTGCCAGGCGTCTTGGCGGGCGCAGCGCGCGCACGCGCCGGGCGAGCGGCCGTGGCTCATCTCGCGGAGCGGGATGCTGGGCATGCAGCGCTACGTGCAGACCTGGAGCGGCGACAACTACACCGAGTGGAAGACTCTGCGGTACAACTTGTGGATGGGGCTCGGCCTCGGCACCTCGCCCCTGCGCTCCGGGCCCACACCGGCCCCGTCCGGGAGCCCAGTGTGTGACGCGCGTGTAGGCCTCTCCGGTTGCTTCAACACCGGGCACGACGTCGGCGGCTTCGCCGGCCCGCCGCCGCCGGCCGAGATGCTCGTCCGGTGGGTGCAGAGCGGCGTCTTCCACCCTCGCTTCACGATCCACTCGTGGAACGCGGGCGGGCCTCCGACGTCGGCTTGGCTCCACCCTGGCGTGGCGGCGCTGGTGCTCGACGCCATCCGCTTCCGCTACGCGCTGATCCCGTACCTCTACTCGCTCCTTCGCTCGGCGCGCGACGAGTGCGTGCCGCCGCTGCGGCCGACCTGGTTCGACTTTGAGGAGGACGACCGCTGCTGGCGACCCAGCGACGACTTCATGTGCGGCCCGGCGCTGCTCGTTGCCAACGTGCTCGACGCAGGCGAGCGGCGGCGCGACGTCTACCTCCCTCAGAATGGCGGCCGCGGCTGGTGGGACTGGCACGGCGGAGCTTGGCATCCCGGCGGAGAGACGCTGACGCTGGATGCGCCGCTCGACCGCATCCCGCTCCTCGCCGCTGCCGGCGGGCGTGGCCCGCGCGGAGCAGAAGGGTGGAGCGCGGTACTGAGGAGCTTCCTGATGGGTAGGCTGCTGCGTGCCGCTCGCCGATCCGGAGGCGCGCTCCGCCCTCGACGGAGGCATCAGCCGCACGGTGCGCGTGTTTCCGCTGCCACCCGATCCCGCGTTCGACGGCGTGGCGGCGGAGGCATGCTGGGTCGAGGACGACGGCGTGTCGGACGCGGCGCAGGGTGCAGGCACGCAGCTGAGTGTCTCAGTGACGGCACGGGACGGGTCTCTCCACGTCGCCGCGGCCGCAGTTTGGCCAGAGTCGGCATGGAGCTGCCCTCTCCAGACCATCAACGTCGTCTTGCCGCCAGGCGAGAAGCGACCGGTGCAGAGCATCGCCCCCGCGGCTGATCTTCGCCTCGAGCTTGTTGTTGGCAAAAGGCCGCACCCGTAGCACAGAGCAGGGCTACGAGACGGTCGATGCGCCATGGCGCCATCGCTCGGTCCCAGTCCCGGTGCTCATCTGGCAGAGATTGGCACAGAGGCTTCTCTCTCCATGTGGTCTCCCCTGGCCCGGTGGCGGCAGCCAACACTTCGGATTATATTGTCTCCTGCGCATGCCGCATGCGTCCTGGCTCCTCCCCCCGCCCCTCCTCTCTCGTATATCTCACCTGACACCTCTCTCTCTCACGAGACAACACATGTGCATGTGCATGCACATGTATTAACACCCGGATCGGCGCACACAGAGCATCGTGCTGCAACCAACTACGTCACGGTAAGGGTGGGCGTAGTTGTTTTTACGGACCAAAGGTTACACACACACGCGGCGTACCTTGTATCCGATCTCTGGGCACTGGGGGAGGATCGGCGGATCGCTGGACGTGTAGGCTGTAGCAGGTGAGGAACGGGAGTGAATACTCCATGGAGTCGTAGGATCTGTGAGCGCAGCTTCAGCTGCCCTTTGGCCGCCTAGCCTTCTTGATGGCCGCACCGCCACCGCGTCTGCCCCCGCGCCCGCGCCCGCGCCCGCGCCCCTGCAGCCGCACGCTCACGGGCGTAGCCGCCTCGAGCGCCGCCGGCGTCGGCAGCACGACCGGACAGAGCACTGGGGCGCGCGGTTTGAGCAGCCGATCCACAAAGCTGCCCGTTGTGAGGAGGGCGGCGAGCTCGGCTGCGTCCGGCCGGCGCCCCTTGCCCTTGCCCGCGGGGCTGAAGATGGTCTGCTGCTTGGCATCGGGCGTCGCATCAACCACAACGTACCGCAGCGCCGAGAGGTCGACCAGCCCGTCACGGCAGAGGCGGCAGAGGCGGTTGGGCGTGCCGACCGCGACGTCGACCGCATGCGTCGAGAGGAAGGCGGCCTGCTCATCGACGGTGAGGTGCCTCGCAAAGAGCTTGGCAACCTTGAGGCCTGCACGAGACAGCAATCCGCACAAAGACGCAGCGCGTGGGGCGGAAGGAGTGACGAGCAGCACAGCAAATCGACCGGCCGCCTTGGTCGGAGCTCCGGCCGATTTTTGTGCGGCGCCGAGCAACGCAACGATCGCCTTGACCAGATCAGCGGGTGCTTGCACTGGCCGGAGGCTCTCTGGCAGCGAGACGGCGATGCTGGTCTCTGGAAGGGCTGCCCGGACCTGCTCTCGAGTCGGCGGCTCGTTGGGTGGCGCAACCGACATCGACGTCGATGGGACCGCTCCTCGTCGACGCTGAGCCAAGAATAACGCACCCGGCTCAGCGGAGCTGGGAAGAGGATCGCCGCAAGCGGGGGCTGTGTTCCTAAAATTCTTCTCCGGCAGCTGCTCCGCGGTGCCAAGCGAGTGAACAAGCTGGCGGGCGAACAAACTGCATGCTTTTGCACTTCCCATCAGCAGTCGTCCTGACACTGCTTGCGCCGCCCGCCTTCCCCTCCCCGCTCGTGCCGCTGTCCCGACGGCGAGCGACACCGCGGCCGGTGCTGTGTGGCAGTGGCGACGGCAGCGAGTCGGCGGATGAGGGCCCGATCCGCAGCCAGCGCGATGTGATTGAGCGAGTCATGGACGATCGCCAGGAAGAGGGCACCGACGAAGAGGGCACGGTTGCGCCTACGCCGGCCTCGCGGCGCCGGCTGGCGATGCTGACTCGCCGCGCCGAGGAGGAGGCGGCAGAGATGGCCGCCTCTGGCTCGCCGTTCCTCGGTCCGCTCTCGTTTGGCTCATTCGTGTGGCCGACGGGCGACCCTCGCGCCAACCCGTCGGTCGGCGGGCGGCGCGGCCTGCGCTCGGTGCAGTGGGGCCGCGGCATCAGCGACGACGCGAGCCGGAGGCTTGCGTGCTACGCCTCCGACTGGCGCGACGGCCTCACGCCCAAGTCGTGCGCCGCCATCACTTTCCTCTGGTTCGCCTGCCTCGCGCCGGTGCTCGCGTTTGGCGGCGCAATGTCGGTGCTCACGGACGGGGCGATGGGCGTGCCAGAGGTGATCCTGTCGCGCGGCGTGTGCGGCATGGCCCACGCGGCGGCGGCGGGGCAGCCAATGACCTTCCTCGGCCCCACGGGGCTCACGCTCGCCTTCACGACCGCGCTGTACGCCTACTGCTCCGCCCTCTCGCTGCCCTTCCTGCCGATGTATGCGTGGGTCGGCATGTGGACGTCGGGCATGCTGCTCGCCGCCTCGGTGGCCAACCTGTCCGGCCTGATCCGGTACTGCACGCGCTTCACCGAGGACGTTTTCAACTTTCTGCTCGCCTTCAACTACGTCGCCGAGGCGTGCCGCTCGATCCGCGCCTCCTTCACGGGACTGGCCGGCTCCGGCTTCCTCGCCCTCAACACGGCGGGGCTCACGGCGTGGCTCTGCCAGGCGACCGCCGCCTTCCGCTCGAAGCGATACCTCTCTCCGATGGCGCGCGAGGCGCCGCCCCTCGCTACGCGCCTCGACGCCCCCCCGAGATCCGCCCGAGACCTCACCCGAGACGCCGCCGAGTCGCAGGCCATCTCCGATTTTGGGCCTCCCCTCGTCATCCTCGCCGTCACAGCCGCCTCCCTCCTCCCCTCCGTCGCCGCGCTCGGCTCGCTGACGCGCCTGCCCGTCGCAGCAGCCAGCGGCACCGCCGCAGCAGCAAGCGGCACCGCCGCCGCCGCCGCAATCGGCACCGCCGCCGCCGCCGGGACCGCCGCCGTGGGCAGCAGCCTCGGCCGGCTATGCGGTTTGGGCCGGCCGCTCCTCGTCGACCTCTTTGCGCTGGCGCCGCGCTGGCGGCTGCTGGCGGCGCTTCCCGCAGTCTTCCTCGCGCTGCTCTTCTTCCTCGACCAAAACATCACGGTGCGAACGGTCAACGCGCCGGCGAACAAGCTGCGCAAAGGCGCGGCGTACCACCTCGACCTGCTCGTCCTCGCCCTCCTCACCGGCGCCACCTCCCTCTGCGGGCTGCCGTGGATGTGCTCCGCCGCCGCTGAGTCGCTCAGCCCGTGCAGAGCCTTCGTTTGAGTGGCTCGCCACCTCTTGCTTCAGGTGCTCCGCCACCGTCGAGTCGCTCAACCACGCGCGGCTCATCCTCTATAGAGCACGGATCATTCGATGTGGAGAGCGACTATAGAGCAGAATGGTCCTGCTCTATAGATCCGCGCGATGACGCTCTACACGACGCGCAAGGCGCCCGACGGCTCCACCGTGGAGGAGCCGGAGCGCGTGATCGAGACGCGGCTCACCGGCTTCGGCGTCCACGCGGGCGTGCTCGCCTCGTCGCTCGCGCTGCCCCTCCTCTCCGTCGTGCCGCTCCCGGTCGTGTCTGGCGTCTTTCTCCACCTCGGCAGGCGCGTGGTCGCCGGCAACCTCTTCGTCGAGCGCTGCAAGAAGCTGTGGCTCGAGAAGGGGACGCTCGACCCTCGCGTCGACGGCGCCGAGCGAGAGATGGTTGCGCTGGGCAGATGGGCCGTCTTTCGCTTCACGGCGGTACAGGTGCCGCTCCGCCCCGCACAAAACACAGGACACACACACAACACACACACACACACACACACACGCGCGCGCGCGCACGCACGCACGCACGCACGCACGCACGCACGCACGCAGACAGATCGATCCCACCCTCCCCTGCCCGTAGGCCGCTTGCCTGCTCGGGCTCCTCGCTCTCCGGTGCAACCCGTCGACGGCTCTCGTCTTCCCCTCGGTGATCGGCGTGCTGATGCTCGTGCGCGTCAAGCTCGTGCCCCGGATGTTTTCGCGCCGCGAGCTGCGGCTGCTAGACACTGCTATTGGGGACAGCCTCTAGGGTGCCACTACGTACGTTTTGACGCCGTTTTTGCTTTTAGATAGACCACCAGGGGATTACGTTTTGGAGCATTCGGAACCCAGCAGCAGCAGGACTTGCGACTTGGAGCACTTGGCCTTCGGGTATTCTTGTCAGTATAAATAAATAAATAAAACGGACACACCAAACAAGGGGTGGTCGGGTATTCTTGTTAGGTTAGGTTAGGTAGGAAGGCGAAGAACAGCGCTAGAGATCATAGTGTCCCCAGAGCAGGCACAACAGCCTACAGGTACATCGCAGACCGTAGAGCTATGACCTATGTGGCGCCGTGTCCACGTTGGAGAGCCAGGTGTGGTGTGGAGAGTGAGAATAGCGCTCCGCCGTTCATGGTCAAACACAAGAATAAGCCCTCGGGGAAAGAGACTGCCCCAACAAACTGTACCGGAGATGCAAAGGGAGAGTAGAGAGTACCGACGTAGTATGGTACCTCGCACATGTCGTCATTGTTTCGCGTGGTCGGGGGCACTCGGGCAGCTGCAAATTGGTCCCCGAGCGGCGCCTCCGCCAACGATCGCCCAGACCTCTCATCTCGAGACCTCGCTCACCAGCCTGCCGACTCCGCGCGAGCGCCTGCTGCCGCCGGGGGCGGCAGCAGCCTCGACGCCTCCGTGTGCCTCTCCCTCCCGTCTGGGAGTCGGATCGTCGCGTACATGCCCTCCGGGTCGTCGTGGTGCAGCGCGATGACTGTGACCTGCAGAGCAAAGCGGCGCGGGGTTGGGAACAGGCAGTGGCAGCGGCGAGGGCGGGCGGCTCGCACCTCCATCGAGGATGCCCCGCCGTCGCACGAGTAGAGCGCGCGCTGCCCGCTCGTGAGCCCCGCGCCGCTCGCTGCGCTTCCCGCCGATCCACGGCACTGGTGCTGGCCACGGCTCCTCCTCCTCCACGGCTCCTCCTCCTCCTCCCCGTCGCCCTCCGGCTCCGCCTCGGCACTGGTGCTGGCGCCCCGCCCGCCCTCCTCCGCCTCCTCCGCAGCCCGCATCACCTCGTGGAAAGCGTCGGTCGGAGGCAGCGGCTCGCCGCGCGCGCAGCTGTCGGGGAGCGGCTGTGCGGCGTCGAGGATCGCCGCCCATCGGCCGTCCGTCAGCAGAGCGGAGCTCGAGCCGACGACGAGGAGATGGCGCCTGCTAAAGGCGCCGCTCGGGTGAGCAGAGGCGAGCGCGGGTGGCGGTGCGGGAAGGCGTTGCGTGAAGGCGGCGGCGACGCGGGCTACTCTCGACTACCGGCGGCCGCTCCTGGCGCGCGTGAGCATCACATTCAGCCGGCGCGGCGCGGCCACAAAGCCGAGGCTCTGCGTCCGGCAGGTTGAGACGAGCACCACCTCGCGCTCGGCCCCCTGGAAGGCGTCCACGGTGGACACGGCGACGGCACGCAGCGCCTGCGCCTCGCCGTCGTCGCCACCGCCGCCGGCCGTGCCGGAGGCGCCGCCACCGCCCGCGTGCCCGCCGGCCTCCTCGCCGCCGGCCCCGAGCATCGACACGAGTGTCTCCGCTTGCGCGCGGTACAGGCAGATGACGCTAATCTTGCTGGCTGTCGCGCCTAACGTTACGGAGCATACTCCACACCGCGGAGGCCGCTTCCCCCTCCTCACGGTTTGGCTGCCCTCCTCGAGCTTTTCCGCTGCCGTACCTCGCAATGAATGCGGAAACATGTGCTCGGCGTGTTA